ATTTTATTCGATGCATCGTGTAAAAAATATTCAATTGTAGGGGTACTAAATTTTCAGAATGTAAACTAAGCCAACTGTGAAATTATTTAATTAAAAAAAATATATTTTTCTTATAACCACTTTTGCTTTATACACTCATATTATAATTCTAAAATGTTGCTTTAAAAAATAAATTAGATATGGGCATATGAAACATTGCTTTAATGCCATATTTAAAGTTAGTTGACCACAATTTTCATTCTCTTGTGAATAACTTTTATATTTTTATCCTTTCTATTTGCACATTTACAAAAACTTATATAATGTATGAGTATATGTGCTTAGCTAACCCTTTTCATTGCGGTTTCCTTTTACATTTAAGTAATAATAATAATTAAAATGATGTGTATAAGAATGTGTACTACAACTTAAATAATTTTTTTTAACGTTTACATATTAATTAAATGCATTCTGGTTCTTTTTACATTTCATATAATTTCAAGCATTTTATTATTTGAGGCAAAAAGAATCTTTGTTAACAGATTGGAAATTCGTATTTAAAACATTTATAAGAAAAATTATATGGGTCTTTTAGATATTCTAGAGTTTCAGTGAAAAATTCTCGAATATCCAATAGAACTAGTTGCAATGCAAATTGCATTAAGAAACCATTTTCCACCTAATTGTTTAAAATTATTTTAAAAGATATTGTTGTGGTAGTATTATCATAAACAAGTAAACAATTCAAACATAATTTTCTCAATATAACAGCCGACACGAACTTATTTATTTAAAATGAGAGCTTTCAGTTTTTAATCGAATTGAATTAGTGTAAAGCCGCCGCAAAGCTGATATATCGGAGTTTTATACAGACTACAACAACTTTGATAAATTTAACTATTTATGCACAATCCAGGACCAGTACATGATTTTCTTATATTCTGCAATGCAAAATCAATTTCCAAAAATTTTTTTTATATAATATTGCCAGCAATGAACAAATGTAGACAATTTAGGACAATATTAGAGTATCTTATTTGCCTAAAATTTTTATTGTCTATGAGACAAATTCAAAAGTTCATAAATTTAAATTAATTCCTTAATTTATGGTATTTCTAATAAAATTATTATAAATTCAATAGAACACTCAAAATTATTCGCGATTTAGGTGCCGATTTTATGAACTATGTACATACGTATGTATATACAAATTTATAAAAAATAAAATACCACATGGAAAGGGTAAAATATAAATTTGATTTTGAAATTATTTTCAATAATGGTTAAATAAATATTTCATTAAAATTTAACAACCAACAATATTTAGTTTTGATGATGACCATATAATAATAATGGTTACTGAAGAATTGCAATATCACAATGAACTTGTAATTTTCGAAAGTCTGTACGTATATTTATACATACATACATTATATTAAAAATGGTATTCTATTTTACACATATTTATAAATAATGATGATTTCAAGTACCTACTCATGTATAAACGCCAATCTGTCCAACCAGATCTATTTATGTAATGTGTTTTTTAATTTAGGAAATTTACTACGGATATAGTTGAATATTATATAAGTATATTTGTCATTTTTGTAATAATATATTTAACATTTGCATAATGTATTATGTATGTATGTACAGTATGTGTACATGTATCTAATTTCAACGCGTTATTTATAATCAGTAATAAATAATGAGTATTGTAGGTTTAGTCGTTTTTAGCCAATAAATCAATGAGTTTTGCTCGTACACTTATACACATAATGTGTTTATGTATTTTTTAGCTACCTATTTAATTATTATATTACATTTTTTTTTAAATATTTTAATGAATTTTGACTATGTTAATTAAAAAATATAAATGGAAAAAATTCTATTTAAAAAAAAAATATAAAATTTTAACCAAAGGCAAAAACAAATTTAAAATCGTAATGAAAATTGCCTAAAAAATGTTTATTAATATTTTTTATCCGCAAACTTGGTGATTCTGTAAAGTAGGAGCAATATTATGTTTATGTAACCAATTTTTGACAGAAAATGACTTGGGAGAGAGAGAGTAATTACTTGCCATTGTAAAGAGTTTTTTTTTATAATGCAAATGCATTTCCTCAAACAATAAATTTAGGATCAAGCTAGTTGTAACATTGGAAAGTTTTCTGTCAACCGGTATGTCAACAAAAAGCACATTTATAAATAAAGCCAATCATTTGAGAGTTTGGAAAGAGAGTAGTTTGGCATTATCTTGTTATATACTGACGTAACAGTAGTATTTTTTTCTATCACAATAGAAAACAATGTTAAATCATGGCGTGTTTAACCCAACAGTTAAATCTACACTGAAGAAGGTAAATTTATATTTTTTCTGCAAATTTGCCAAAAATTTATTTGCATCCCAATAAAATATTTCAAATTTTTAAATAAAGATGGCGGTATGCATAATGGGCATATTATGCTTTAAGTTTATTATTTTCGGAAAGCAATTGTATATAGAAGAAGACCGATTACATTTAAAATCTATACAGGTAAGAATAACTATAATTTAAATTTAATAGTTGAAAACTTTTCATAGACTTGAGAAATAAAAATCGCATAACTTGGTTTAAATTTATCAATTTACACTCAAACAATAATAAAAAAAAAACATAGAAATAGAAGCAGACTGTGACTGAAAATTATCGTGTTGTAAATAACAAAAAAAAAAGAAGAAAATTAAGTAAATTTTTGTTCAAATTTTTACTTCAAATATTAAACACCAATGAAAACTTGTTAAATGAATAACAAAATAAATATTTCACTTTTTTTCCATTGATTTTTCGTGCTTATTTGTTTGTAAATCGTTGAAAATCGAAAAAACACACATAAAAAATTCACGATGAACGTGAGTTTTCGATTTATTTTTTCAAACACATTTTTTATTTTACATTTTTCTTTTCTTCTTCTTTTTTTCATCCTAATATTTTTGTTATTTTGTATTCAAAAATTTCACATACTCATATTATTTGTACACATGCTTTTATACATTAAAATGTACTTGTACTTTTTGATAATTTAAAAAATTTGAAACGAAAAAGTAAAAAATTTCGTAAAATGAACCACTTCAACTCTGCGATATCCATAAATGAATAATTATTCTCAGAGTTGTATAGCAACTGGCACACGAATTTAATGTACGTGCAGAGAAATAATCTCTCGTTTTCTTAAATATACTGTAGCCTTGTTGTGTAGAATTTATTTACTACAGTTCGTGTAGAATTTATAGCTCGTAAATTTAAGCGCAAAATTTTTTTTTAAATCGAACAATTTCTATTATTTTCAAAATAGGGGTACCGTACGGTAAATTGTTTGTAATTGCTAGTACAATATTAAAACTAAATAAGTTTTATGAAAATAGTAACCCAAATATCCACAAATTATAAAGTTTTAGTAACGTAACCTTAATAGTTCCAATGATATGTTGAAATAATTTATAAACTGTACTCAATCAAGCATATTTGCCTACATCATATTCAATTCTCTACTCTCTATTTATTCTATGCGTTCTGTACTGTTATGAACTATTTTTGCAATAAGCCCAATAAGTGGAGTTATTGATGGGACACCCGAATAAGGATATTTGGTATATATGTAACTAAATTTTTTGACAATTCGGCGCTATGTATGGATATCTCAGAATTATTCTTTCTCAGAGTTATAAGTGTAACATTAAATTAATAATAATGCGTATGGATGCAATAAAATTAATTTTGAATTGCTTCTGTTTTTTCTTTCGCTTCCATACATTTTACTTAACTTTTTTACAATTCTTATCTGTCCTACAAAAGAATCGCATTAACTGATAGGCGGTAATTTTCATCTTAAAATAATTTTCTCATTGCTTATTACTTGTATGTATGGGTGTGTTTATAATTGTTATTAAAAATTGTTTTTCATTTATTTTTCTGAAAGAATTTCTTACGAAATTCCTAATGATTACCTTAAAGTTAAATATGTATAAGTTTTTATGCTAAAATTGTTCTTACAATGTTGCGAGTTTCAACTAATTTCTTTTCTTTTTACTTTTATTTTCGAGAAAATAAAGATAAAATTTTTCAATTTTAATGCGTAACTCAAAATTACTCAAAATTTTTCTTTGAAAATGAAAAGTAAGTAGAGCTGACCATGCAATTTGCGATACCCGTACGAATGAACGCAGTGTTACAATATTGTAACACTATAGCTTTTATAGTTTTCGATATGTCCAGGAAGTTGTGTAGTAGATAGAATACGATCTTTTTCAATATCTGCAACTTTTAATGGAAATGATGACCATTTGATCATAATTCAATTCCAAAAATTTTTATCTTGTCACTTAAATATTTTCTAAGGAATGACCAAATAATTTTTTAAAATGTATAACAGTTATTAGAAACACTGTCTCGATCAGATCCGATTTTAATAAAATTTTATTTATAAAAATTTATAGGATTTAGCTCAATTGATTTTTGAACTATCGTAGTTAAGCACAGAGAACTTAATTTTTATCAGAAAACAAGTGACGAGCTTTTTCATCTTCAATAAGTTGCATCAATCGCATGCTTGGGTTCATATACGTATGCATATAGATTTTGGGAAAACTGTAGATTGTTTTACATACTTCTATATAATTTCATATCGTCTTTTAATAAATAACAAGAGAGAGTGACAAAAATTTGAAAAGAAATTATAATTATTGGAAAGAGAGTATTAAGAAACGTTAACCAGTAATGCTTTCAGTTACACGTTAAACAGAATAAGGCAAATTCAAACTTAATTGGCATAATTTTGTTGTTAAAGCAAATTATGATTTATTGGGGCAAAAATTAATAATGAAGTTTTTTATTTTATATATATTTATAACAAAAATATTTAATTATACATGTATGTGCATGGGCATGTATGAGTGCATAAAACAGCAAACGTATGTGTAAAAATTCATATGTGAACAGCATACGATAATTTTAAATCAAACTTCATAATTTCATACTCACGTCGGGAATAAATAAGTTTTCTTTTTCAGTTATTGAAAAATTTTTATGATTTTTTGAAAAAAGAAAAATTCACTCCAAGTTTTTATTTGACATCCAGGTTATGTTTGGAATTTCCAATATCAATTATGAAAACTGCAATTAATAAATTAAAAACAAAAATTAAATTATATTGTTTGTTAACAGTTACACAAACTTACAATAGTTTAAGAAAATTTAATTATAATTAAATATTAAAAAAATTTAACTTAATGGAAATTTCTTCATGCAACTGCAGAACAGGTGGATGACGTAATCAAAGGAACGAGTTAAAGGCAGAAAAATTAATTAAAAAAAGTCTAAATCCTAACTTACGCCCCTGAATACCTTTTATAATACTATATTTATACAGACCAATGGTGACTTAGTTATATTTTTATAAAATGTGCGTTCAGTTTCTAACCTTTTAGAATCACAAATGGAATAATCAAAAGAGCTGCTTAGTGTTAAGTAAAACAAAGCCATCTCACGTATTTAAATGAATGCCACTGAAATTGTCGAAAGTGTATACCATATATTACCTACCATATATTATGCACAGTAAACATATGCAGTGGGCGTCGGAAAACAAATATCGCAATGTCCAATGTGTATTGCATATTGTTCATTGCTTTGAAAGAGCGCCGAAAAAACCCGAATTGACCCTGTAAGTATGTCATGCCACTTGGTGCAATTCCGGCAATGTGAAAATTTTGAATTTTTGATACCACCTACCGCGTCCATTTAAATTGTTCACTTAGACTGATACTAATATATGAAAAAAATTGAATTGCATTCTGATTCATTCTAATTTATTATGTAAACAAAATTTTAATAGCATTCTATAAATCTTGCATCCTATATTTGCTAACTAATCTCAAAATTATTAAAAAAAACTCTTCAGCGCAAACACAACATATCCAACCAAAAGTAATAATAAACATTACCGCTTTTTTATCTCTCATATACGAAAAGAAACAAAATTTCCAACCTTGAATCAAAATTATCATCCAAAATTAATTTTAAAAAGATTGAAGTCACCTTTAATTCATTTTAAATTTTCAACTCTGTCAAATCCATTAAATGTTTATTTCCTTCATAAAAATCTCATAAATTAATGTAAGATTTGTCATTTTTCATAAATTAATATTATAAAAGAGAAGAAAACAAAAAAAAGAAAAAAAAATTCTAGAAAAAAAAAATAAAATATTTAAGAAATCGTACAACCGCATATACACCGTATACTAAAAATATTATAGGGATAGTGAAGAAAATAATATGAAAGAGAAGAACTTTTTTAAGGACTTTAAACATAAAATGGGACCAAAAATAACAACATCAGTATTAGGTAAAAAAAAAAAACAGAAGAAAAAAGAAACTGAAACAAATTTTTGGTTTTTCTTCTTTTCTTTTTTTTTTATTTTCAAACTTTTTTAAAGCATAATTGTACAAGATTATTTAGAAGAAATACGAAATTTACGCTACGAAAAATTTGAATTGTGTAGTAAACGAAATAAACATGTTAAAATGACGTAATTTTCCCGGTTGGCATTACCATTACCAAAGAAAAAGAAAACAAGAATGCAAAAAAGCTACCACATCAAGGCGTCAGTTCCAATTAATTGAATAATTTTGAGAATAAGACTTGCAGTATTATTGATCTTGCATTATCAATTCTCATTTGTTGCACTTTTGATTAAATTCCTTAATCTAATTCTAACGAAATGCGTTTTATTTTGAAAAATAATCATTAGGACTACCTTCTGCCAAAAAATTATAGTTCAACACATATAGTACCTCTCACCAAAATTATCGAAAGAAGAAAACTCATAAAATTATTAGAAATTTCCTCAAGACTTCTACTGCACCGAATTTCATTTTATTTGAGCATTATTCATATTTTCATACGTTAGCATTTTTCATTTCCTAATATTTTGAAACTAGTGCTATAACAAAAACTGTGCGGGATTTTATCGTAACAATTTATATTTTAATTCCTATCCGTCATTATTTAATTCTTGTTCGTTATTATTTGACAAATAATAAACAAAGAATATGAGAAATATGAAATGTCAATTTGTCACTAACAAATCACAATTGACAGTTTATCAAATATATTTCTGATTTTTATCAAAAAATTTTATTTGTTGCAAATGATTCGAAAAATGTTTGCCTCAAAAATAAATTAAACGATGGCCCTCTTTAAGCCGAATCCATAACTTAATTTCAGAGCAAATTTTTCCATTTGTATACTTCTTGATTTCAATTCGATTTTTGTGTGTTTTCTCGAAAATGTCGAGAAAACACACAAAAACCAAATATACTGAAACATTTCTGAAAATTTTTAAACATATTTTTTTTCAGTTGAATCGAGAAAGTAATAGCTAGTCATTCCATATATTTTTTTGAGCCACAAGAACAAAATATCACAAGTATATATGTATGTATGTTCATCTAATATATGCCATATAATCATTTATTGCTGTCTGAAGATTATTTTGTGCGGAAGAGACAAAAGTTTTTTTTTATTTTTTTTTTTCGAATATTTTGCAAGGATCAAAATATGAAATTTTTCTTTTTAGGTGTGGGATGATAAACAATTTTTTTTTTCTTATTTTGTTTTTTTTTTTCAACATTTTAGGGCAATATCTTTTAGGATGGATTTAAGACTTCTTTTTTTTATATACATATATAAGATTTAAAGATTTTAGTTTGAATAATCGAGTAAACATTTTCTAAATACGAAAGCGTACATAAGTACCTTCATACATATCATGTTTATTTAAATGAATATTCAGCAGAAAACAAGTATATAGAAAAGAAAAAATAAAATCTTATTAAAAGTTTTTAGATAAGTAAATAAGTTTAAATCTTAGTTATAAAAATTATATACCATGTTTATATTATTATGTATGTACATAAATTATTCATATTTGTATTTAAAAAATATCATGTCTTTGATGTTTTGAAAAATCTTGTTTCGTATAACATGGATAACATTAAAATGAATAATTATAGTAATCTATAAAACTTATAAAATAAAGGTAAATAAGTGCACACTGAATTAACTGTGCACAGTCACACACACACACAACTCGTTATAATTAAAGAAAATTTACTATAAATATTACTAACATAATAAGTGTATATGTACGTGTATAGCAGGTTTTTATCTATAACATGAACTTTATCTTCTTTATTATAAAGTTATTTAAGTAATTATAAAAACTAAAAGTAATAAATTTTAAGGTATGATGAACAAAAGTATGGAATGCAATATCTACCGTATCACACTTTTAATTAAATTTCTTTAATTTAAAATATGAAATTAAATTTTATAAAGTGTTTTTGTAAAGTCTGAAACGCTCTTTTGCTCAGATGTGGAATTTGTGATTATAAACAAAAGTGACCTCAGCTGAGCTTTGCAATAATTGTCAATTGCATGTCAATTGCAATAATTGTCAAATTTTTTAAAAATTATTGCATAAACAATCTGTCATAATCTGGTTAATAAACCTGAATAAATTTCGAAGTTAATGGCGAAAATATATGTATAACAAATTGCAAGCAAATTTTGTAAGCTACAATTTTAATACAGAAATAAATTTGCTAAGCGAGGTTTAATTTTTTTTTTAAATATTAATTTAAATTAATTGAAATCTTTTTTGTTTCAAAATTTCGGCGATATTTCGTCTTAATTTAATCAATTTGTCTCATTTAATTCCTAAACAATTTTGGACAAATTTATAAAAAGCTGTAACATTTTACTTTCCAATTGGAAATTTATATTTTAAATTTAATTTGCTCGAACCACAGTTTTTCAATTTACTTCAAGTTTCCCGCCCAAATAGCACAGATATATGTGTTATACCAATAATTGCGCAAAAATCCTCAAAAAACAAAAACAAATTTTTGATTCAAGTATTAATAGAGCAATGCACCAAATTTAGTTACCAGTTTTCGGCTCCAAAGACCTAAAATTGAAATTCGATTTGAAGTTTTGATTCTTTTTTCTATTGAAGTTGGCATGAAACTTAATGTTTGTGACTGAATTATGAGTTGGGTCACAAAACTTATTCAATTCTAAAATATTTGATAATTTTTTAGAAACTGAATTGCCCTTCGATTTTGTATAGACAGAAATAGAAAAAGCTAAAAAATAATAAAAAAAAAAATAAAAATTCAAAAAATCTAAATTGATTTTGACATGTTTAATTTGTAGCGACATCTATTTATGTTATTTGCAGTATATAGAATTCAAAATTTTTTTATTTCTACATCAAAAATAATTTTCCCAATATTATTTTTGATTCGATCTAAATTTTGACATAAGTTGATATCGATCTTATTTTTTTTTATTTGAAAAATTAAAAAAAAAATTTGCGGATTTTATTTTCTTTACATTTTTTATTTTATTTTTTTTCTATTTGCATTTTAAGTCAGCATTTCAAATATTAAATTTCATTTGAATTCAAAAACTTCTTGTTACTTTATTGAATTCTTTTATATATAAAAATTATGGTAATTTAGAATTTTTTTTTGTTATTCCCCATTTTCATTTCCCTAGTTTGCGAAAATTCACTTATAAGAAGAAATATTCAAAAATGCAAAAATATTTTAATTTCCGTAAGAAACTTTTGAACTTAAAAAAAAAAAAAATTGTTTTGTTATTTGGTTTTGTTAATTTAAAGTTTTGAGTAATTTAGTTTTTACTCTTCAAAAGTTTTTTTCATATTTTTTTTCTCTGGATAAGGAAGAAGAACAAAATCCTTTTAAAATAAGAAAATTACTAAAATTTTAGCAATTTTAACATCATTCAACTATATATTTACTAAGAAAAAGGGTTGCTTTACAGTGCATGAAAATAAGGTCCCCAATTAATGCTGCATAATTTTAAATTTAAAGAAAATGAATGAAACAACAGTAAGGATTTTGTGGCATGGTATAATTGTTGCTCTTTATTATTGTGTAATTGAAAATTGTTTTTTACTTAAAAATTGCATTCTGTACATAGTATTTGAAAATTTCAAAAAATTTCACGAGAAATTGTTGGAGCAAAAAAAATTTAAATTTTCCTAAAGATGGAATGCTTGTATTTCCGAAAAAAAAAACATGTA